CCTGCTGCCCTGTGCGCCCCGTGCGCCCTGCTGCCCTCTGCACGCGCCATGCACAGCACCCCCCTCCCCCCCCCCCCCCCCCCTTTCTCCTCCATCCCCTGCTGCAGGTGCAGCAGTGGGGGAGGGTATGGGGGTGGCGGGTGTGTGGCATCCCCTGCTCCTCCTCCTACTCCGTCTCCCACTGCTGCAGCTGCCGCTGAGGGGGGTGGGTGTGTGTGAGTCGACGGAGTGGTGCTAGGGGGTGGAGTGTGAGTGAACCTAGGGGTGCAGCAGGGGGTGTGTGTATGGGGGGTGCGGCAGTAGAGGGAGGTTGGGTGGAGGTAGCCGTCGTGTTGCTAGCAGTGCCAGTAGTCCAGAGGTGCGCTTCCGGTAGCCCAGTGATGCCGCTGCGCCAGTCGCCCGTGGGTCCGTTGCTCCTGCCGCTCGTCTTAGCCGCGGAGCCAGTTACTCCTGTAGTCCGGAGGTGCGCCTCCGGTAGCCACAGTGCGCGCCGCTCCTGTTGCCCGTGTGTCTGCAGCTTCCGCCGTTGCCTCCTCTCTCCTCTCCTATTAGTCCAGCCTCCTCCTCCTCACTTGCCCTCTGTGATAGCCTCTAGCTTTGCTTATTTATTGTGAACTTTAAACTGTTACTTCTTGTACTTGTGCTCAGAATGTGTGGTGACATTGTGATCCACCCTGAGCTTGCTTTGCTTTGCTTGTTGTGCTGATCATACCCCACTTTGACTATGGGGGTGTGTCAGAATATTATGTTTCTCTAGTCTGCAATGGGGTACTCTGTAGTGAGTACAACCCTGTTAGGGTTTTCTATATGTATCCCAATGCTTTCTAGTGCAATCATTCTCACTCATTTGATTCTCGATTCTCACAGTTTTTGGTTCTGCGACTTTTGTAGAATTGTGCTGTACAGCTGCTGCGAGTCCCAGTATCTGAAGGCCAGTTTGATAATTAGGACTGTCTTCGGTCCGACCTGCGAAATTGACAGGTTCTTTCTGTTCACCACTTGCCCCCCCAATTTCGTCAGGATTGACGTGGATGCTGCTGTCAGTTACAGCTGGCATGGGACGTCGTTGGTCGTCCACCAGGTAAGTATGATGAACATCACGAACATCATATGAATTAGCGTCGACGAGAGGAATGAATTCCGGAAATCCGGAAGAAGTGGTTGGTATAGGTGGATCGGGAGCAGCTTCACGTGCATCATTGAGGTCAGGTTCTTCGCTGTCAGCGAGTTCGGTGTCGGTGGTAGCGAATGAACGAACACCGTGGAAAAGAGTAGCAGGGTCACGCTGCGTGGCAAGATATTGTTCGAAAGTAGGAAGGGTCAGATTTTCGTAGAAAATACAGTCACGGGCAGGAACCAGAAGGCGACTGCGATAATCCATGATGCGCCAGGCAGAAAACTCTTTCTCGAGGCCGAGATGAAGACCCCACTTAGCACGTTGATCAAACTTTCCGAGCGGAGCAGTAGGAGGACGGTATTGCACGACACACCCGAAAACTCGAAGAAGTTTTGTAGTGCCCAATTTTCCTATCCACAACAAGTGAGGTGATGCATTGTTGGGTAGAGCTGATGAAGACAGAAGATTATGCAACAGCGTTGCATGGGCCATCGCGAAGGGCTAGTAGAGCGGGCTGAGCTGGGACTGGGCGAGCAGAGCTCGCATCTTTTCTTGCAGAGTTCGATTGAGGCGTTCTGCTACACCGCTCTGTTGGTGAGCGTGAGGAAGTGAGAATAGGCGCCGTATGCCTCTCTCTTGCAGGTACGTTGTAAACTCGAGACTCCGATACTCCCCGGCTCCATCACACTGGAAGGACTTTAGTTTGGTGTCGGACTCACGTTATGCGAGAGGTAGCCATGTTCAAAACGCTGTGAAGGCAAGAAAACGGTTAGTCATGTTACCAGTCCAGATGTATCGAGTAGAAGCTTCAGTAAACGTGATGACGTATTTCTCGCCATTGAAACCCTCCGCAGGTAAGTTTAGAATATCGCTGTAAACTTTTTCCATCAAGCGATAATCCTCAGCGCCAGGAAAATGAGACGGGTACGGTTCGTGCGGTAGATTTCCTGCTGGGCAGATTAAGCAGGGTGACGGACGATTGACCGGTTTCATTTCGAGGCCGCCAGGTAAGAGAAGCGAATTCTTGTCGAGAACAGCAGCTTTGATTGTGTTGTTGAGCGTAGACTGTGACGGATGACCAAGACGCTTATGCCATGTGTTTGCAGTAGCTTTGTGTCCCTGTGCGTGCAGATAATGATCGGCGTTAGCGAAGAAAGACAACAGCAGCCGATGACCGTCAGCGCGAATATGATCTGTGACAGGCGGGATGAACCTGGTAAGGTTAGGTGGTGGAATTTTTATTTAAACGTCGATGTATTCGCTAGGTGAAAGAACTAACTCCCCGCTTTCTTGATCTGATGCTGCAGGTTTAGGCTCAACGCCGACAAGTCGTCAGGAGTTGAGGACTTCCATGTCAGCGACACGCTGCTCTGTTTCAGTGAGAAGACGTCGATCACGATCAGCAGGTGTTTCTCCCAAAGTGGTCTCGTCAGGTTCCTGTGCCCCCCAAGCGCCTTCACCCGTGGGCATATTCATCGTATCTCCCCAACCACCAACTTGAGCAAGATAGTCGCGGGAGTTCTGGACGTCATTCAGGTCTTGATTGTCAAAGGTCAGCATGACAGCGGCAGCCGTGGTTGAAGACGTGTGTACAACTCCTCATGAGGAACGGTATGTTCGGTGTAATCAATGTCATCGCGATGCTCCCATGGGCCAAGAGAGAGAATATTTTCGGAGTCGGCAGTGGTGCGCTCAAGTACGAAGTTGAGGACGAATACACCATTCTGTTCGATTGCCGTGCCGAGTTTCCAGTCTCCATATTTCAAAGTAAAATTTCCAGGTTCGCCAAGAAGAGTAATCCCATTCCGCATGAGCTGTGCAGATGACATCATATTGAAGCCAAGTCAAGGAACGAGAAGTACATCGTTAAGGTGAAGACTGAAGTCTTCTTCAACGGAATCAAGAATGATGTTACCCATCCAGTGTGTTGTAAACCGTTGATTGTTGGTGACGGTGACAACGCATGGGTTCTGAAGATGACGCTGATTGATGACGAAAAGATTTTCTGAGGAACACATATGCTGGCCGCAACAACTGTCGAGATACCATGTGTTGGGACCTTCCAAGGTATGTGCAAGGTTGGCGTAGACCTCGGGTGGTATGGGCGTATTGAGTTCATCGTTGAAGTTATTATGAACATGGTCTTCGGCGTCAGGATCATCGACGGTAGAAACTGACGTCATACAATTAATAACTTCTTTCGCTTGTGTCTTAACATGGTATTGCGAGCGTCTTAGGATTCTACAAGCTTCCAACTACATACTCTGCAACTATGTCTGGCTCTCCACGATCCAACAACGACTCTTTTGTTACGAGCCCATCACGCCCAACAGCGTCTCCAACTGCTGACAATTCTCATCTGCAGCAACAACAATATCAGCAACAACAATATCAACAACAACCAATGTACGGCATGCAACTGAGCAATCAGTCCGTACACACAACCGCAGCAGCGGCATCATCGGCAGCAGCCGCAGCAACAACGGCATCAGCAGCCACAACAGCTGCAGCTGCAGTAACTGGTTCTACTAATCAACCAGGACAACAGTCTAGTTTCGTACCGACTGGACCATATCAATATCAAGGGGCTTACTAGCCAACAAATCTTCAACATCGTGTTAATGCTGCCATCTTATCACTTAACCGGATGTTTCCAACTCCTATGAGTCTTGATGGCTCCAATTATCAGCATGGACAGTTACCACAAGGGAGCGACGGGTCAAACAACTCCTCCTTTGTTCCTGTTGGACAAGGACAACAAGCATCACAAGGATCACAGATGCCATCACTTTATCAGTTACAGTCAGCTGACGGCACCGGAAACTATCTTCCTGCTACTGCAAACCCAACAAATATTAAAACGACAATGCCATTTAACGGTCAAGACTTTTATACCTGGAGTTTCGAATTCGAGCTTCTTGTTCAAACTGCGGGATTCTGGCAATTGTTCGATGGTACAACACCCTTTCCATCTCACGGCTCACCACTTCAACAGGCCACTTTTCGATCGGCGTCGCTGACTGCTTACACAGTTCTCGTTCGCAATATGACACTGACTGAACAGCTTGGTATTCGTCCTTTTCGTACCAGTACCGCTCCTGCTGAAGCAGCTTGGTTATAGCAGCTTGGTATCATCGGTGTAATCAATGTCATCGCGATGCTCCCATAGGCCAAGAGAGAGAATATTTTCGGAGTCGGCAGTGGTGCGCTCAGGTACGAAGTTGAGGACGAATACACCATTCTGTTCGATTGCTGTGCCGAGTTTCCAGTCTCCATATTTCAAAGTAAATTTTCCAGGTTCGCCAAGAAGAGTAATCCCATTCCGCATGAGCTGTGCAGAGGACATCAGATTGAAGCCAAGTCGAGGAACGAGAAGTACATCGTTAAGGTGAAGACTGAAGTCTTCTTCAACGGAATCAAGAATGATGTTACCCATCCAGTGTGCTGTAAGACGTTGTTTGTTGGCGATGGTGACAACGCATGGGTTCTGAAGACGACGCTGATTGATGACGAAAATATTTTCTGAGGAACACATATGCTGGCCGCAACAACTGTCGAGATACCACGTGTTGGGACCTTCCAAGGTATGTGCAAGGTTGGCGTAGACCTCGGGTGGTATGGGCGTATTGAGTTCATCATTGAAGTTATTATGCACACGGTCTTCGGCGTCAGGATCGTAGACGGTAGAAACTGACATCATACAATTAATAACTTCTTTCGCTTGTGTCTTGACAGGTGTAGCAGGCGGCTTCGCAGAGTTCGGCTTCGCAGCTTCCGGCTTCGCAGCTTCCGGCTTCTCAGCATCACCTGAAGAATCTTTGGTGTGTTTCGATGCAGACCTCTTCCAAGATGGTTTATCCTTCGACCAGCAGGTATCGATAGTATGACCTGCTTTACGGCAAAAGGAACAAACGGGCTTGTGACGTGGAGTAGGTCCATATCCTGCTGCTCACCCGCGCCGTGGAGGAGATGGAGTGAGTGGGGGCAGAGGGGATGGGTGGGGAGAGGGTTGGGGAGAGGGGTGGGGGGAGGGAGTGAGTTGGGGGGAAGGCAGCAGTTGGCGGTTGCAGCATCGCTCACCCGCGCCGTCGAGGAGATGGAGAGAGTGGGGGGAGGGGTGGGGGCATGGAGCGAGTGGGGAAAAGTGTGAGTTGGGGTGAAGGCAGCAGTCACACTCAACACACATCGTCTCGCCGTCGTCCCCCCCAATCAGCATCGTCTTGGAACCTCCCCCGCCCCCAATGTTACAGGGAGGTGGCGCAGGCACTGCAGGAGAACGCTTTCAACCCCAACAGCCAACATTCTCCCACTATCCTCCCCCACCATCCACCCCATCAATGCAGGGAGGCGGAGCAGGCGCTACAGGAGAGCCCTTGGTGGGCCCCATGCCGCCCGCCCTCGCTGCAGAGGCGCTTTCAACCCCAGCAGCCAACACCGTACCCAATATCCTCCCCGTCTCCCCATCGTCCCCCCATCGTCCCCCCATCATCCCCCCATCGTCCCCCCATCGCCCCCCCATCGTCCCCCCATCGTCCCCCCATCCTCCCCCCATCTAATGCCTGCTCCATGCCCCATGCCTGCTCCATGCCCCATGCCCCCCGCCCTGGCTGCTGAGGCTCTCTCACCCCCAACAACCAGCACTGCCCCCCATCCTCCTCCCCATTGTCCCTGCATCCACCCCCCATCGTCCTCCCCATTGTCCTTGCATCCTCCCCCATTGTCCTCCCCATTGTCCCTGCATCCTCCCCCCATGGTCTCCCGCCCCTCCCCCAATCACTGCAGAGAGGCGGAGCAGGCACTACAGGAGAGCCCCATTTGTGGGCCCCATGCCGCCTGCCCTCGCTGCAGAGGCGCTTCATTCCCCTTCAACATTATATTGATCACCCCAATCCCTCACCATCCACCCTATCACTGCAGGGAGGCGGAGCAGGCGCTACAAGAAAGCCCCTTTGTGGGCCCCATGCCCCCCGCCCTGGCTGCTGAGGTGCGTTCACCCCCCATCAACCAACATCGTCCCCACATCCTCCGACCATCGTCCCCCCACCCCATGGTTGCAGGGAGGCCGAGCAGGCGCTACAAGAGAGCCCTTTCGTGGGCCCCATGCCACCCGTCCTTGCTGCAGAGGCTGCCAACGCCACCCAGGCGGAGAAATACGAGGAGGTGAGGAGAGGAGGGTGAGGGGAGTAGGTGGGGAGTAAGAGGTAGGGGTGAGTGACAGGTGCTTCATTGCGATCATGTCTCCCCTCCTACTCTCCTGCACGCGTGCTCACCTGCTCTCCTGCCCCTCTCCCACCCGGGGGCATTTCAGAAGCCCTGCCTGAGCATGGATCCAGCTATGTTGGATTGGAATCACTCTTGAGGTAAGGTTGAGAATTCTCAAAAGTTTTTTCAGCATAGCTCTCCCACCTGGGTGCATTCAGGAAGCCCCGCCTGAGCACGGATCCAACATGGGGGTGACTGTTGTTGCTGCTGCTGCTGTTGTTGCTGCTGCTGCTGCTGCTGCTGCTGTGGTGGATTGCATGCATGCCTCCCCTCCTCCTCTGACCCTCATGCCCGTTTGTCCCCTTTCCCAGGGGAAGCGGGTTCTGGACCCCGAGCTGACCGCGTGTGCCGTCGTGGGGGTCACTGCTGGCTGCTTCTACTGCGCGTTGCGTTCCTGCCTGCCCTCCATCATATTAGCCCTCCTTCTCTCCCCTCAGGTGGAGCGCATTCTGCACCCGGAGCTAACTGCTTACGGTTGAAATTTGTTGGATTCGAAACGCGGAAAGCCTACTAAGAGCTAACTGCTTACGCCATCGTGGTGGAGGTGGCTGCTGACAGCTGCTGCCTGCATTGCATGCCTGCCTGCCCTCCATCATATCATGTGCTCCCCTCCTCCCTCTGCACACATGTCCATCTCGCCCCCTCCCCCCTCAGGTGGAGCGCATCTTGGACCCGGAGCTTACTGCTTACGCCATTGTGGGGGTGACTGCTGCTGCTACTGCTGCTGCTGCTGCTACTACTGCTGCTGCTGCTGCTGCTGCTGCTGCTGCTGCGCGTTGCATGCCTGCATGCCTGCCTGCCTGCCCTCCATCATATCATGCCCTCCTTCATATCATGCCCTCCTTCCTCCTTCCCCTCAGGTGGAGCGCATCCTGGACCCGGAGTTGACCGCGTACGCCATCGTGGTGGTGACTGCTGCTGCCGCTCCATGCACTGCTGGTGTGCACTCCATCACTTCAATCGTGTCCTCCCCTCCTACTACTCTCGTGCCCCCTTCCCCCCCTCCCCCCTCTCAGGTGGAGCGCATTCTGGACCCGGAGCTCACGGCGTACGCCATTATGGGGGTCACGGCTGCTGCTGGCGACGGCGAGATCAAGAAGCGGTGAGGCTGGGAAGAGGGGAGAGGTGGAGGGTGGAGGATGGAGGAGGAGAGGAGGGAGGGGTAGGAGGGGAAAAGTGCAGCCACTTGAGCGCTCAGGTAACGTCATGAATACCACCTTTAGCTCAGTATGTCCATCCCGTGTAGTGGATCCTAAATGCCCCTCGTGGGGGTGGCAGCTGCTGCTGAAAGTCTTTCTTAGACCACACACACGGCTTGCTGCGGTTCGAAACCTTCCTCTACTCTACTCTGAGGAGGCGTCATGGATACCTTTCCATACCGTGTCCATCCCGTGTGATGGATCCTAAATGCCCCTCTCAGGAGGCATCATGAATACCTCCTAACAGTACAAGAAGGTTTCTTCTTACCACACCGTGTAATGGATTCCAAATTCCCCTCCATCGCTTCAAACACCCCTTCTCCTTCCCTCTCTTCCTCCCCCCCTCCACAGCTACTGCTGCTGGTGCATCCAGAAAAGTGCAGCCACCTGCGCGCTCCGAAGGCGTTTCTGCCTCCCACCTCCTCCTTCCCGCACCTTCTGCATCCGAATCATGAATCCTTGACTCGCTTCCATCCCTCTGAACAGCTTCCCTCTTTTCCCACTCCATCCAGCTACTGGAAAGCATCGCTGCTGGTGCATCCGGACAAGTGCAGCCACCCGCACGCGCAGGAGGCGTTTCTGAGGCTCAACGATGTAGTGAATCGACTCAAGGACCCCGCCAAGGTGCGCTGCTTCAAGCTTTTCAACCGGGGTAAGGCATGCATGCATGCATGTGATGTGAGCACACATGCCCGCATGCACAGGCGTGTGTGTTCCTGAGGCTCAACGATGCAGGGAATCGACTCAAGGACCCCAGTAAGGTGCGCTGTTCTTGAACACCTGCCGTGAACCGACTCATTGATGCCGGGGTGCCTCCGGGGTGCCTCTGGGGTGCCTCTAGGGTGCTTCCGCGGCTCAACAATGCAGTGAATCGACTCAAGGACCCCTCCAGGGCGCGCTGCTCTTGAACACCCCGCCCGACCCTTGAGGCCTCCAACACTGGAGGCAAGGTACGCAGTCGTGCACGCTTTCTTGCATGCGTGCATGCATATGCGTGTGTGTGTGTCCCTGTCTGTGAGGCTCAGCGATGCAGTGAATCGACTCAAGGACCCCAGTAAGGTGCGCTGCTCTGGAAGCCCCCCCCCCTTTTCAGGCTACCAACACAGAGTCCGGCATGCAACCGTGCATTCGCATTCGCATTCGCATTCGCATTCGTGTCTCAAGGCCGATGTGTGCGGACCAGGCCTGATCCTCCGAAAGTTGGTGTCGTTGTAGCCCACCCACTCAAGGAAAACGCTCATGTGATTTGGGACACTTGAGTACCGCACCAACCCACCCAGGAGAAAAAACTGATTTTGACGCTAGAGGCTGGACGAATTTAAAATTTTCCCTCCTCGAGCGTTGTGTAGGTCCATATCCTGCTGCTCGGCGATGAGAGCGGCACAGAGTGCCCCCTCAGACAACGTTTTTTGCATCCGAAGAATAGAGCGACACTACCGCCATTCTGGTCCAAGACCCGCGAGTAGCACCGTGTGAAACATAGCGTCGGGGAAGTATCCTCCACACTTCTGAAGCTGGTCGTGCAGATTTCGAGCGCGGTTGATATACTGCGTCACCTTCTCGCCGTTTATCATCTGTATATTTGACAGCTGCATTAAGATTTTACTCTGATTGACGGTGTCCTTTGCCATGTAAACCCCTTGCAGGTATAACCAAGCTGCTTTAGCAGGAGCGGTACTGGTTCGAAAAGGACGAATACCAAGCTGTTCAGTCGGTGTCATATTGCGAACGAGAACTGTGTAAGCAGTCAGCGACGCCGATCGAAAAGTGGCCTGTTGAAGTGGTGAGCCGTGAGATGGAAAGGGTGCTGTACCGTCGAACAATTGCCAGAATCCCGCAGTTTGAACAAGAAGCTCGAATTCGAAACTCCAGGTATAAAAGTCTTGACCGTTAAATGGCATTGTCGTTTTTATCTTTGTTGGGTTTGCAGTAGCAGGAAGATAGTTTCCGGTGCCGTCGGCTGACTGTAACTGATAAAGTGATGGCATCTGTGATCCTTGTGATGCTTGTTGTCCTTGTCCAACAGGAACAAAGGAGAAGGAGTTGTTTGACCCGTCGCTCCCTTGTGGTAACTGTCCATGCTGATAACTGGAGCCATCATGACTCATAGGAGTTGGAAACATCTGGTTAAGTGATAAGACGGCAGCATTAACACGCTGTTGAAGATTTGTTGGCTGGTAAGCCCCTTGATATTGATATGGTCCAGTCGGTACGAAACTAGACTGTTGTCCTGGTTGATTAGTAGAACCAGTTACTGCAGCTGCAGCTGTTGTGGCTGCTGATGCCGTTGTTGTTGCGGCTGCTGCCGATGATGCCGCTGCTGCGGTTGTGTGTACGGACTGATTGCTCAGTGGCATGCCGTACATTGGTTGTTGCTGATATTGTTTGTTGCTGATATTGTTGTTGCTGCAGATGAGAATTGTCAGCAGTTGGAGACGCTGTTGGGCGTGATGGGCTCGTAACAGAAGAGCCGTTGTTGGATCGTGGAGAGCCAGACATAGTTGCAGAGTATGTAGTTGGAAGCTTGTAGAATCCAAGGCGCTCGCAATACCATGTTAGATTTTGAAGTGATTGAGTAGGATCGTATACTTCGGATGGTAGCTTCCTGTTGTAGCGGAAGTCTTTGTATGAGTTAAAGCCAGTGTAGGAGGCTTTGTCTGGACTAATGTAAGCCCATGTAATGATATGTTTCAGGATCTATGTCTCTGAAATCAGATATATTATAAAATGACAAACATACAGAATATATAGCTAGAGTAAAGTACCTATTCGCATACTGTACTGTGCTATTCACGCTATTCGTGTTCTGAAACGGTACGTGACTATTTGCGAGGCCTATAGCTACGTGCTGACGTCATCCTAGGGCACGTAGCGCTTTGCTGACGTCAGCCTATCGGTACTTTACTATTACGTGCGAAGTCTCGCACTGTACTAACTGTACTACACGAATTCCTTGAAGTGCTTAAGTCTCGATATTATCTCAACACCTAGGACCGAATTTTTTTTTAGGGCCCACCACAGAACTGCCCCACTAGCTGCCCTGCAGCCCTGCCCCAATGGCCCGCCGCCCTGCTAGCCGCTGTGCCGCCCCTAGCAGCCCGTCGCGCCGCCCTTAGCAGCCCGCGAGCCGCCACTGCAGCCAGCGCGCTGCCACTGCAACCCGCTCGCCGCTCGCCTGCGGCCCGTTAGCCGCCCCTGCAGCCTGCTCGCCGCCCGCTTGCGGCCCGCTCCCCGCCCCTTGCAGCCCGCGAGCCGCCCTCTTGCAGCTTGCGCGCCGCCCCTTGCAGCCCACTCGCCGCCCCTTCCACCTTCTCACCGCCCCTCAGGCAGCCCGCTCGCTGCCCCTTGCAACCTGTTGTGCTCCACCCTGATGGCCACCCTAGTCGTGCGCCGCCCTGCCTTACCCTACACGCTTCCCTAGTGCTGGCGCGCCGCACTGCCTGCGTGCTGCTCTGCTGGTCGCGCGCCACCCTACTCTGCCCGCTATGGCTTCTCTGTCAAACTTATATGCTATAGTCTATCTAGGCTGTAGTGGGGTAGTTCATATAGGGTACAACAATTTTAGGTTTCCTACTTGTACCCACCTGCTTGCTAGTTCAGTCATTCATTCGTTCCATATTCTAACATGGTATTCTGAGCAGGTTCCCTCGTGGGAACATTTTTTTTAGGGCCCACAACGAGATTTTTTTTTCTTGCCCTGCCCGAAGCGCGCCTCGCGCCCGCCTTACCTGCGCCGTCGCGCGCCCTTCCCTAGCCGGCCCGTCGCGGCCCCTACTGCCGACGCGGCCCCTGCTGCCGTCGCGGCCCCTGCTGTCGACGTGGCCCCTGCTGCCGTCGCGGCCCCTGCTGCTGTCGCGGCCTATGCTGCCGTCGCGGCCCCTACTGCCGTCACGGCCCCTGCTGCCGACGCGGCCCCTGCTGCCGTCGCGGCTCCTACTGCCCTCGCGGCCCCTGCTGCTGTCGCAGCCCCTGCTGCCGTCGCGGCCCCTGCTGCCGTCGCGGCCCTTGCTGCTGTCGCGGCCCCTGCTGCAGTCGCGGCCCCTGCTACCGTCGCGGCCCCTGCTGCCATCGCGGCCCCTGCTGCAGTCGCGGCCCCTGCTGCCGTTGAGGCCCCTGCTGCCGTCGCGGCCCCTGCTGCCGTCTTGGCCCCTACTGCTGTCGCAGCACCTGCCGTCGCAGCCCCTGCTGTCGCGGCCCCTGCCGTCGAGGCCCCTGCTGTCGCGGCCCCTGCTGTCGCCGCACCTGCAGTCGCGGCCCCAGCCGTCGCGGCCCCTTTGCTGTCGCGGCCCCTGCAGTCGCGGCCCTTGCTGTCGCGGCCCTGCCCTGCACCCGCCCCTGGTAAGCACCCGCGCCGCCCTGCTGCGCCGCGCCGCCAGGAGCTGAGCCGCGCCGCCAAGCCGAGCCACGCCGCCCAGCCGAGCCGCGCCGCCCACCGAGCCGCGCCGCTCTGCCAAGCCGCGTTGCCCTGCCGAGCCGTGCCGCCCTACCGAGCCGCGCTGCCCTACTGAGCCGCACTGCCCTGCCTGCACTGCTCCTGCTGCCACTGCTGCTTCTACTACCACTGCTGCTACTGCTGCTACTGCTGCTACTACTGCTATGGCTAGCCCTACTGTTCTCACATTTGATGCTGAGAGGCGTGCAGTTGACTTTGACGTGTGGGTTGACGACCTGCAGCTCTTTCTTCAGTGTGACTCTAGGGATGGGGTATCCCTTTTCGATCACACGTCCGGTGTCTCTACTGCTCCTGCTGCCACTGCTGTCAGTACGGTTCGCTCGCAGTGGACCACTCGTGACGCTGTTGCTCGTCTTGCAGTTCGTAGTCACCTGCCGCATGCTGAGCGCGCGCATTTTGGCCAGTACAAGACTGCTCAGTCTTTGTACGACGCTGTAGTTGCGCGCTACTCCTCCCCTGCCACTGCTGCCCTCAGCCGCCTCATGCTGCCGTACCTTTTCCCTGACCTTGCCGCCTTTGCCACAGTTGCTGACCTCATTACTCACCTCCGCACTAGTGACGCCCGCTACCGCGCTGCCCTTCCAACTGAGTTCTGTGCCAAGAACCCCCCCCCCCCCCCCCCATGTACATCACCCTTTACTACCTAGTCACTCGCCTCCCTAACTCCCTTGCTTCAGTCAGGGACCAATTTCTCTCCCTTTGCCCCACCGAGCTCACTGTCGACCTGCCAGAGGAGCGCCTCGCAGCAGCTGAGAAGAGTATCTTAGCTGTAGGTGCTTCTCGCGGCGACCGTCGCACCCCTTTCTTTGAGGGGTGTTCCCCTGTCCCCCTTCTCCCCTTTGTTTCTTCTGCTGCTGCTGTCGACCTCGTTGGCACTGAGGAGGTTGGCGCTGCGTTTGCTCCCAGTGGGAGGCGCCGCAACAGCAAGGGCAAGTGGATCAAGGGTGGTGGAGGGGATGGCGGGGGTGGCGGCGGAGGCGGTGGAGGAGGCAGAGGGGGTGGCGGTGGAGGTGGGGGTGCCGGGAGTGGGGGCTTCAGTGGCAGCGGTGGAGGTGGTGGAGGCAGCGGCGGAGGTGGTGGAGGCAGCGGCAGCGGTGCTGGAGGCAGCGGCAGCAGTGGTGGAGGTGGCGGCGGCGGTGGTGCTAGTCGAGGTGCAGCCGCGCAGCGTGGAGGCTTTGGTGGTAGCCAGCGCCAGCAGCAGCCGCGTTCCCGTGAGACCCCGTCGCCCCAGCAGCTTCGTGAGTGGTACGCTGGGCGTGGGAGGTCTGGGGGTGCTGGTCCCTGCACTTACGTTCTTCGCACCGGCGGGCGTCGTGGGGAGACGTGCGGGCTGCCACACACTGCGCAGCGCTGCTTCGGTCGCCTGACTGACGCCTGGCGCGCCCAGTTTCCTGACGCTGTTGAGCTCCCTCGCTGGGGTGATCTGCTTAAGCAGAATGTTGCTATCTTTGATCTTGATTTCGATGCTATCCTTGCTGCCATGTATGCTGTGACTGATAGTGCTAAGGGTGACTGTTACCTGAGTGTCCCGCCCGACCCGGGCATTGAGGCTGCTGCTCTAGGTGCTAGTGCGTCTGCTGCTCCAGGTACTGGTGAGTCTGCTGCTCCAGGTGCTGGTGAGTCTGCTCTCTCTGGTACTGCACCTACTGAGGCCTTGCACACTTTCACACTTGACTCTGGTGCTTCGCGCTCCTTCTTTCGCGACAGCACCACACTCACGCTGCTCAGTCGGCCTGTCGCAGTCTCCCTGGCTGACCCCTCTGAGGGCCCAGTCCTTGCGCACTCTTCCACGGTTCTACCGTGTCCTGCGGCCCCGTCGGGCTTGCTGTCGGGACTCCACCTCCCCTCGTTCTCTACAAACCTGGTGAGTGGAGCTGACCTCCAGGACGCGTGGGTCGACCAGTTCACCCCTGGAGGTCAGCGTGTGACCCACTGCACTTGCTCTCGGACGGGCCGCCACCTGTCCACGTTCACCCGTCGGCCTGGGTCAAGTCTGTACACACTGACTACTGCGTCTCCTCCGGTCACTGCGTCTGGTCAGGTAGCCGTGTCTAGTCAGGTGTTTGCTGCCGCGTCCAGGTCTAGTCCTGAGTCTGCCCCCTGCTCGTGTCGTCCCCTGTCGCACGAGACTCTCCTTTGGCACCACCGCCTTGGTCACCCCTCCCTGCCTCATCTTCGAGGTATGGCCTCCCGTACCCTGGTCTCGGGTCTCCCCCGGTCCCTCCCTCCCCTTCCTCCGGGGCCTGCCCCTACCTGTGTTCCTTGTGTCGAGGGCCCGCAGCGCGCCGCTCCTCACTCCTCCACGTTCCCTCCGACGGAGGCTCCCCTGCAGACTCTTCACATGGACGTGTGGGGCCCAGCCCGCGTCCGTGGACAGGGTCACGAGCGTTACTTCCTGGTGGTCGTAGACGACTACTCGCGTTACACCACAGTCTTCCCCTTGCGCAGCAAGGGTGAGGTCACTGAGGTGTTGATCGACTGGATCCGCGGTGCCCGTCGCCAGCTCAGCGAGCATTTTGGCTCGGATCTTCCTGTTCTGCGTCTGCACTCAGACAGAGGTGGTGAGTTTTCCTCCGGCCTCCTGAGGGCCTTCTGTCGTGCAGAGGGCATCCGCCAGACGTTCACGCTTCCAGCCTCTCCACAGCAAAATGGGATTGCTGAGCGCCGCATTGGCATGGTCATGGATGTCACTCGTACGCCCATGATCCATGCGGCTGCTCCCCATTTTCTGTGGCCGTTCGCGGTTCAGTACGTTGCGCATCAGATCAACCTTCAGCCTCGTGTCTCCTTGCCGGAGACCACACCTACTCTGCGGTGGACGGGGAAGGTTGGCGATGCGTCAGTGTTCCGTGTCTGGGGATCTCGAGCTTTTGTCCAAGATACTTCAGCGGAAAAGCTGTCCTCCCGTGCCGTTCCCTGCGTCTTCCTTGGCTTCCCCCCTGACGCACCCGGGTGGCAGTTCTACCACCCCACCTTGCGTCGTGTTCTGTCCTCTCAGGACGTCACGTTTGACGAGTCGGTGTCTTACTACCATCTCTTTCCCTACCGCACTGCCTCTCCCCCCCCCCCGCCACTCTTCCTAGCACCAGGTACTCCTCCGGTAGATCCCCTCCCCCCTCAGGGTCATGTCCCCTCAGGTGTGTCCCAGGTAGACCCTGCTAAACCGGTCGAGGTAGCTGTCGACTCAGGTGCTGCTAGGGGTGTTGAGCCTGCGGGTGCGGGGTCTGGGGGTGCTGAGCCTGGGGTTTCTGTGTCTGAGGGTTCGGAGCCTGGGGGCGCTGAGCCTGAGCGTGTGGAGCCTGGGGGTGCTGAGTCTGGGAGTGCTGAGCCTGGGGGTGCTGAGCCTGAGCGTGCTGCGTATGGAGGTCCTCTGGGTGTCCCGTCGCAGCGGGAGCCCCTCTCTCCGCAGCAGCTTCGTGAGTGGTACGCTCGGCGCTGTCGAGGTGTTGCTGGTGCTACTGGTGCTGCTGGTGTTGCCGGTGCTGGAGGTGCTGCTGGAGGTGCTGCTGGTGCTGGAGCTGCTGGAGGTGCTTTTGGAGCTGCTGGTGCTGGAGATGCTGGTGCTGCTGGTGCTGGAGGTGCTGCTGGAGCTACTAGAGGTGCTACTGGTGCTGGAGCTGCTGGAGGTGCTTCTGGAGTTGCTGGAGGTGCTGGAGCAGCTGGTCCTGGAGGTGCTCGTACTGGAGGTACTGTAGCTGCTAGGGCTGGTGGTGCTGTAGCAGTTGGAGCTGTAGGTGCTGGAGCTGTTGCTACTGGAGGTGCTTCTGGAGCTGGAGCTTCTGGAGGTACTGGAGCTAGTGGTACTGCGGGAGTTGTAGCTGGCGACCCTGGAGCTGAGGGTACTGGTGTTGTCTCTGCTGTTTCTGGAGGCGCTGCACGGCCGCGGCCGTACTACGTTCCGCTCCTTCAGCAGGTTCTTGGTCTCCCGCCTTCTCCTGGTCCTGCTCCTCCTTTACTGAGTCCACCGCCTGTCCAGTCACAGTCGCAGTTACAGCGGACCTCTCCACTGCCTGGTCCTTCTCCTTACTCTGGACCGACTAGAGGTCTTACGGAGCGTCGTGAGCCTGAGTCACGTCCTGTGTCGCCTGAGTCTCAACCTGCATCACCTGAGTCTCGTTTTGCGTTGCTTGTCCGCACTGTTCGCGCTGGTCGTCGTGTCTCGCGTCCGCGTCCTCCTCCTATCCCTGGCACTCACTCTATGACACTGCGTCCTTCCACTGCTCCACAGCATGTCCCTCTGCCGTCTCCTCCTGCGTCCTCTCTTCCTGATGGTCCGGACCCGGAGTCTGACTCTTACGCTTTCTAGCCACTGCTGTCACTGACCCTTTGTTTGAATCCACTGCTGCGTCTGCTCTAGTTGCTGAGCTTGTTGACTTTGCTGCAGCCTGTCGCCTAGACTTTGCCACTAGTCTTGTTGCTGAGTCTGCGTCTGAGTCTGTCTGTCCTCCGTCCGTCGGGGGTGAGTGTGCTCTTGGCACGGACGTTCTTGAGGACAGAAAAGAGGAGTTTGAGTTCTTTGCCCCTGAGGGAGACCCGGATGCACCAGACATCCCGACCCCGCCCTCTTACGCAGAGGCGATAGAGGGTCCCTACTCCTCTCAGTGGCAGGCAGCCATGGACGCCAAGATGGCTTCCTGGAAGTCCACAGGCACTACGTTGACGAGGTTCCCCCGCCTGGGGCGAACATCGTCAGTGGCATGTGGATCTTCAGGGTGAAGCGGCCGTCGGGTTTTCCGCCTGTCTTCAAGGCGCGTTACGTTGCACGTGGCTTCAGTCAGCGACAGGGAGTTGACTTCTTCCAGACCTTCTCCCCTACCCCGAAGATGACCACTCTTCGGGTACTGCTGCACGTCGCCGCTCATCGTGACTACGAGCTCCACTCGCTTGAGTTCAGCACAGCCTTCCTACAGGGCAGCCTGCACGAGGAGATCTGGCTGCGCCGCCCACCTGGCTTCACTGGGTCGTTTCCTGCTGGTACCCAGTGGAGCCTCCGGCGGCCAGTCTACGGTCTCCGCCAAGCACCCCGTGAGTGGCACGACACACTGAGGACGACTCTTGCTGCTCTTGGTTTTGCTCCTTCCACTGCTGACCCGTCGCTGTTTTTACGCACTGACACCACTCTGCCGCCGTTCTACGTTCTCGTGTACGTAGACGACTTGGTCTTTGCTACTGCTGACACTGAGGCACTCGCCCACGTGAAGTCCGAGCTGCAGAAGAGACACACGTGCACAGACGTGGGTGAGCTGACAAGCTATCTTGGCTTGCGGATCACCCGGGACAGAGCACAGCGCACCATTACCTTGATTCAGTCACACATGGTGCAGCAGGTCCTTCAGCGCTTCGGCTTCACGTACTCCTCGCCACAGTCCACTCCTCTGCCTACCGGTCACTCGCTCTCGGCTCCACCTTCGGACGTGTCCGTAGAGCCGAGTGGCCCGTATCCAGAGCTTGTGGGCTGCCTCATGTACCTGATGACTTGCACACGACCTGACCTCACATACCCTCTCAGCCTTCTGGCTCGCTACGTGGCTCCCGGTAGGCACCGAAAGGTGCACTGGGATGCTGCGAAGAGGGTGTTGCACTACTTGTGCAGTACGTCGGGCATGGGGCTCGTGCTTGGAGGACGGGCTCGAGTTGTCCTCAGTGGTCACGCAGACGCCTCCTGGGTTGTCGACTTGGCTACGCAGCGGTCATCACAGGTTACACCTTCAGCCTTGGCTCCGGTTCTGTCTCTTGGCGGTCTACCCGCTCGTCTTCTGTTCTCAGCTCCAGTTGTGAGGCTGAGATCTACGCTGGGGCCATGGCTGCACAGGAGTTACGCTGGCTCACCTACCTGCTGACCGACTTGGGAGAGGCGCCTCATTCTCCTCCAGTTCTGTACGTCGACAACAAGGCCATGCTTGCCTTGTGTCAGGAGCACAGACTGGAGCACAGAACGAAGCACATTGCTCTGCGCTACTTCCTTGCTCGAGAGTTGCAGCAGCGTGGCCAGCTTCGTCTCGCTTACGTGGCCTCACAGGCCAACACTGCTGATGTTTTCACCAAGGCACTTCAGCCTTGTGATCATCAGCGTTTCTGTACTGTTCTAGGCCTTGTACCTACCGTGCCTCACTTGCTTACTTCTTGACTCTGCTTGTACTGTACTCTATATACATATACCTGCATGCTTACACTTGCTAGGTTGTGTTCACTGTATTGTTTGTTCTCCTTTATATAACTCTGCATGTGAACTAGCCTTGTGGCGATTTGCTTGTGCTCAGACTGTGTGGTGACTTTGTGATCCACCCTGAGCCCGCTATGGCTTCTCTGTCAAACTTATATGCTATAGTCTATCTAGGCTGTAGTGGGGTAGTTCATATAGGGTACAACACTTTTAGGTTTCCTACTTGTACCCACCTGCTTGCTAGTTCAGTCATTTATTCGTTCCATATTCTAACATTCTCTCAGTGTACTCACCTTCGATCATGAGGGCCGTCCGATCCAGTTCGATACGAGGCTCGACGACTTACAGCTGTACCTACTGAGCGATTCTAGAGACAGCGTTTCGTTGTTTGACCACACGTCTGGAGACTCTCTCGCCCCTCCCGCCATGTCCGACAGTGCGACTCGCTCACAGTGGCGTACCCGACTGGCTTACCAGTCGCCCCTAGGCCCGTCGCCCCGGCCCGTCGCCCCTACGCCCTGTTGGTGCAACCCTACGGTTTGCATTCGGCTTGTTGTCCGTGTGCGTGCATGCGTATGTGCATGGAATGGTATGAGGGCATGAAATAATATATATTTCATGCTTACAATAGTGTGTGAATGATGAGGCATGATTTTGAATGTGTGTGTCGAGTCAATAGCGAGTTATCGCTAGTTGCGTGCGACGTCGTTGTTTGCGTGTCGTGTGTGGTTTTCTATTTTGTCGTGTGTGGAACGTTCGGCGTGTCGCAGGTGTGCGCAGCAGACTTCCAAGAACTCAAAGAAGAATTTATCTTGAAGAACCAGAGCCTTGGTTTCAAGATTCAAATGATTTCAAAGCTCTCCAAAAGGGTAAACATTAAGATAGTGAGAATAGTTGCATTAGTTTGTGTAGTGTAACATTTCTCTTGGTGTAGGCCCTTGTGGAGGATAGTTTCGAGACCCTTCGTGGTTGGGGACAGTGTGGCACTGTTCCACATCACTGTACCTTGGCTCTTGGGGTTTGTAGGAGCTGGGAGTCATTCCCAACTCGTAACTCTTCCTAATTTGAGTTCTAAGTCTATAGTGGCTGCCATAGTGCCGTTCGTTCAAACTGACGCTGTGTCGTCAATCCTTTATCAAAATCGTGCAATATAAATTGCTTATTGTAGGAGACGTTAAGACGCTCCAGATCCAAGTTGAATCAGGTCATTTGAAGCTGTGACCAGAACGCTATCAACGTTTGAAGCCGCTCTGCAGAAATCCGTCTGTGCACTCTATCTTTCGTTTTAGGCACATTCAAGCCTATTGTGACTATAACAAGTGGTATCAGAGCCCCTTGGAGCAGTTTCGACAATGGCTGGACCTGAGGAAAGGGGTGGCAGAGTTGCTGGTGGCAGTGGAGAAGCCCAAGCTCAAGGCCAACCCTGTGATTCAGCCATGGCGCCCATGCAACCAAGTCTTGGCCCACCTAGGGTTGAGCCTAGGGTGTTTGGGCTTGACAAGTTCAACGGTGACAACTTTGCTGAATGGTCCTTCAAGATGGAGAACATCTTTGACCACTATGACCTGCTGGAGGTGATGGAAGGAACGGAGTAGCGCCCCGAGAACGACCCGGAGAAGAGCCCGTGGGTGCGGAAGAGCGCACAAGGCTATCTCCTACTTGGGCAAGCATTGGGGAGCAGCCAGATCCGTCACATCAAGCCATTCCAGCGTGAACCAGAGAAGGGACCAAAGGCATGGGCTGCTCTCAAGGGTGTACATGCTCCTGCAACAGCGGCGGTAGCGGTGGTGTTGGAACGGCAAATGGCGGCACTACGAATTGAAGAAGACGAAGCGGTTGAAGAAGGGGTGCAGAAATTCTTCGACTTGTTGACGCGGCTTGAGGGAGCTGATTTGAACTACAGTGAGCTCCAAAAGAAGACCAAGTTGCTGGCCTTACTCCCAGAGTCATGGTCCTCTCTCATCATCAACCTCAATCGTGACTTGCCCCGCCTCTCGCTCGAAGACGTGAAGCGAGCGATCCTTCAAGAGGATTTCCGTCGCCGTGTGTTGGCGAGTGCGGATGGCGCCGGGGCAGCAAGCATCGGCCGTGGATATGGCCGTGGAAGGGGCAGAAGACGAGGAGGAGGAATGTTTGGAGGCAGCAACTTCAACGGAGGCCGCGGGAGTAGCGGATAAGGCAATGACAACAAGAACAACGGACGCGGTCGCGGACGGTTCGACGGCGAGTGTCATTTTTGCCACAAGAGCGCACACATGTGGCGCGATTGCTACAAACTCCCTGATGGATGGACTCCTGCTCAAGTCCAAGAGGGGAGAGGAGCAGGAGGAGGGAGAGGAAGAGGCCGTGGAGGCCGTGGCGGTCGCGGAGGTGGTGCTGCAAATATGAAGAGTGCCGGCAACGAGAGCGAGTCGAGGGACGATCGCTTTCCGGGTCAATTCTTCTTCGTGTCCACGCAAGCATCGGCTGGTCCAGAGAAGGATGAAGGCTTTGAGGAGCCAGCAGCTGTGGAAAAGGTCACCCTACACTCCCTGGACTATTGGGTGATCGATAGCGGCGCTACCTATAGCATGACACCTCGTGCGGACTTGCTCACCGAACTTGAGCCGTCACCGGTGAAGCATGTGACATCGGCTTTGGGGCAGCGAGCAGAGGTGAAAGGCATGGGCAAGGCCATGTTCAAGGGTGCTGATGGGAAGATGGTGGGCCTCAAGAACGTGCTCTGGGTGCCCAACCTTGCTGCCAACCTGATTTCCGTGCGGCGGTTGCAAAAGGCCGGCATGGACACGAGCTCGAAGGGAGCTAAGACCTACACCGCGAGGCTTGGCGAGCGGATTCTTTGGGACCTTCACGAGGATAGGGATGTCTACAACGAGATGTGGCAGATCCCTGTGGTCCCCATGCCTAAGGAGAGGCAAGTGGCAGCAAGCATCAGCACCAAGGGTGAAGCGGTTGGTAGCGGTGATGGCGCGAACGGTCGCACTAAGGAGATTGAGTCCAAGAAGTGCAATCTTGGAGTGACCAGCAAGCTTGGTGAACATGAGGAGAGTGGTGCAGAAGCAAAGGAGCAGCACAAGGGTGAGGAGAACCCCAAGGCAGTAGCGGAGGAGGAGTACGGAGAGAGCATGTGGGGCACCATTGCGAGTGCGGCATTCTCCAATCCGACTTCGGCTACGGGGGAGTGTGATTGGCTCACCTTGCATCGGCGCATGGGGCATGTGGCCTTGCCCATCTTGCAGCAGCTAGTGAAGAATGAGATGGTTGCTGGCATATGTGTGAAGGGGAGCCCGATGAGGTACTTGGCTGCCCGACGTGCATGCAAGCCAAGTTCACCCGTTACCCGTTCTCTAGTTCGGAGGCAACGGCTAAGGCACCACTTGATGAGGTGGTGATGGACGTGGTGGGCCCCCTGAAGCTTGGAGCTGCTGGAGCTGAGTACTTTCTCACCATTGTGGACGTCTACACTCGCATGACTTGGGTGTACGTGCTGTCCAAGAAGAGTGACGTGGCTGAAACGGTGAAGACCGATTGGTTGCCGATGGTGGAGCGGCAACAAGACCGGTTAGTGAAGGCAATTCGCACCGATCGAGGGGGAGAGTTCCTGAGCAAGGAGTTCTCATTGTGGCTGAATAAGAATGGCATAAGGCACTCCCTCACCATGCCATACTCCCCTGCAATGAACGGCATCGCCGAGCGAGCGAACCGGACAATCACGGAGACGGCGCGTGGGTTGCTCATTGAAGCCGGGCTACCCGAATATTTCTGGCCTGATGCGGTGCGGAGTGCGTGTGTGGCCAAGAACAGAGCCTTGACTCATGTGGGAGCAGACAAATGGGTGCCCTATGTGGAGTGGATTGGAAGGAAGCCAAAGGTGGATATGCTTCGGGTGTTCGGGTGCATGTGCATGGCGCTCGTGCCTAAGCATCTTCGGCACAACAAGCTCGGTGCCAAGGCGATATGGGCTGTGCACTTGGGCATGGCTCAAAACAGCAAGGGGTGGCTTCTTTGGGACCCATTCACCAAGAAATTCTTGGTGAGCAGGGACTGCAAATTCATGGAGAATCCGATGTACAAGGATTGGAAGGCGGAGAATGAGGCGAAGATAGGCATGCGGTTTGGGGAGGTGAAGAGTTCCGGTTTGGAGCATGTGGAGCTTCCTTTGGAGCTGAGCAGCAGCAGCACCACCACAAGGCAATCTTCCCTTGTGAATGGGGGAGAGGAGGCCAAGGATGCAGAGGAAGAAGAGGAGGAGGTGCAGCAAGTGAGCGAGCGTGCACCGACACTTCCTTCTCGCACTACGAGTGCTCCACGGATCCGAGTCACCCCGCAGCAACGCCAAGGCCTTCATGTCCCTGCAGCTGAGGAGGAAGGAAGGGGCAAGAGGAGAATCCAAGCCCCTAATAGGCTGACCTATTATACATTGGGAAGGCCAGCCAAGTCAGCTCTGGCCGGAGCGGCACTTATAGTTGGAGATGACGAGGAGAGTGACTACGACGAGTGTGCCTCCGTGTTCTTCTCTCCGGTGGAGATGCCGGGAGAACCAGCAACTCTCAAGGAGGCCTTGGAGAGTAGTGATGCTGAGGAGTGGAAGAAGGCAATGGAGAGTGAGCTGAAAAGCATTGAGGAGAACGGCACGTGGGAATTGGTGGAGCTACCGGAGGGGCGTAAGGCGATTACGTCCAAGTGGCTCTTCAAGATCAAGTCCGACGCCAACGGGAATATCGAGCGCTACAAGTCTAGGCTTGTGGCCAAGGGGTACCAGCAGAAGGAGAAGGTGGACTATAAGGAGTTGTTTGCTCCTGTGGTGAAGCTGACGACGCTGAGAACCCTACTCGCGGGAGCTACCATCAAAGGATGGGTGGTGAAACAAATGGATGTCACAACGGCCTTCCTCAACGGCGTCCTTGAGGAAGAGATTTTTATGGCGCAGCCAGAGGGGTTTGATGATGGAAGTGGTAGAGTTT